ATACTTTTTGTGGCTAAGAGTTGTTTTTTTAATAGATCAAGTGTTTACTCAAGTAACTCATGATAAAACTAAAACTATCTATACTTCTTTTGTTATTCCATGTTATAAAAGCCAGCCATGACACACAGTTAATAGCATATTAATTAACTTTAGATTGATGGAGTAGTTGTATGAAAGTCAAAATATTTAAATGAAAAATGATATCTATAATAAAAATGGCTAAAATTATCCATGCTATGTGTCTGATTTCTGTTCAGTGGTGAAAAGGATAAAGTTGAAGAATGACATCTAGTAAGGGTGTAAATAAATTACCTTTATTTATATATAAAAGTAAACTATAATAGCCTAGCTTGATGTAACGAATGCAGGTAAATAATCACACGTAAACGCAACTAAACGGTTTGCTGGTCAGTTTTCTTATTTGTCCCTGAACCAGATTAACCAGGTTAACCAGATTAACCAGGTTAACCAGGTTACTGTAACTGATTTATGTCAAAAAACAAATTAAGCGTCAGGGACTGCAGCTTCGGTTTGATATTACCTCGGACATAAGGCGAGGTGGGAGCCAGCTGTGAAGGACGTCATGAGAAAACCAGGTGAATTAATCCAGATGTAAGCAGCTGTCGTGAATGCTATTTCCTCCTCCTCCGTCTCTCTTCTTCCAATTTTCTATTGTATCTTTTTTTTTTTTTTACCTTAACAGCTGCATCATAAACTGCTTTACAGCCTCCTTTCCCAAAGCGATGTTTGCGCGCGCAGAACAGGAAGTAATCTGTGTTTCCGTGTTGCCAGACGTACGATAATTATCGTATTTGTGCGATACTTTCAAAAAAACGTTCAATACAAAAACAACTGGACTTTATTTGTAACAGAAAACGTTTCGCTCCTCATCCGAGGAGCTTTCTCAATTGAGACGACGTATTGTTTTTGGACGGGTGGGGATAATTTGGGTGGATTTGGAGTCAGATCGGCGGTTTTTGAGTTAATTTATTAAACACATTTCAACCAATAATTCATAGTTATTGGTTCAAATCTCCCTGACCTTTCTCCATGTTAATGCCTCCACACACTAATATATTTGGAAAACAAACAGGCGCCAAAGACAGCATTTATAACTTTTAACATGATCATTAAAAAGGTTTATTGCAGGTTATAGGTAAGCACTAAACCAACATAATTATTATTGAGCATGGACTTTTTTGGTATTCTTTTGAGCATTTACAACTACTAATGTGTATAACACTAATACTGTGGTGATAAATATAGAAATATTCATATTTAACATTTAATCTTATAATAACCAGATCCTGAAATGTGATGTGTGGATTTTCTGAATAAAGAGCACCAATGTTCACATTTGACTGATTTTGATTCATCACATCGATGAATATATAAACACCGGTGGCGGATGGTCAATTTTTCCATGAGGGGCTCCATCTAGTGGTCAAAAAAGGTACTACTTAACTGGAAATGTCACATTTCTTTTAAAATTTGATACACAATTATATTTGTCCATGAATGAATCTAATCAGCTACTTAGACTAAAAGACATGTCTTAAAGACATAAAAACCTGGATGACCCTACATTTTCTGCTTTTGAACACAGACAAGACTGAGGTTTTAGTTTTTGGACCTGAGCATCTTAGGAATTAATTTTTCAGTCTTTCACCCTCCTTAGATGGCATTAATGTGGCTTCCAGCTTTAATATAAAAAATCTCGGTGTTATTTTTGATCAGGACATGTCTTTTCTCCCCTACATTAAAAACGTTACTAGAACTGCCTTCTTCCACCTGCGTAACATCGCTAAAATTAGAAACATCTTATCTAAAGATGATGCAGAAAAATGGTTCATGCATTTGTCATGTCTAGACTCGACTATTGTAATGGTTTGTTATCTGGGTATCCAAATACTTTAATAAACGTCTTCAGTTGATCCAAAATGCTGCTGCCAGGGTCTTAACTGGAGTTAGTAAGAGAGATCATGTGTCCAGTTTTAGCTTCTCTTCATTGGCTCCCTGTCAAGTTCAGAACTGAATTCAAAATCTTACTTCTAACCTACAAAGCCCTCAACAACCTAGCTCCATCTTATATTACAGATCTTATTGTCCCATCTTTTCCTAACAGAGCACTTTGCTCTCAGACTGCAGGCTTACTCGCGGTTCCTAGAGTTTCCAAAAGCAGAACGGGAGGAAGATCTTTCAGTTATCAGGTTCCTTTCTTGTGGAACCAACTTCCAGTTTCTGTCCGTGAGGCTGACACATTGTCCAGTTTTAAGATTTTCAGTTTTGATAAATCCTATAGTTAGGGTTGGCAATTGTTATGCTGCCATAGGCTTAGACACCAATATATATTTAAAGGAAGTGGGGTGGGTGTG